AGAACGTTGGTGTGAGCCAGGAGGTCTTTGGGTGGGTTGCTAGGTCACTGGGTAGACTGTTGCGTGAACCAGGAGGTAACTGGGTAGGCCACTGCATAGGTCACTGGGTAGGCTGTTGTGTGGTTCGGGAGGTCGTTGGGCAGATGGGTTGCTAGGTAGATTGCCGCGCAGTTGGGCAGACTATTGTGTAAGCTGGGAGGTTGTTGGGCGGTGGGTAGGTTGCTAGGTAGGCCGTTAGGTAGACTGGTGTGAGCCAGAAGGTCATCCAGCGGGGGTGGGGGGTGTTGTTAGGTTGCTAGGTAGGGCGTCGGACCATTGGGTAAACTGTTGCATGAACCAGGAGTTCATTAGGTAGGTCGCTCGGTAGGTCACTGGGCCATTGGGCAAACTAGTGTGTGAGCCGGGAAGTCATTGGGCGGGTGGGTAGGTCACTAGATAGGTCATCAGGCCATTGGGTGGACTGTTGTGTGAGCCAGGCAGTCATTGACTGGGTAAGTAGATCATTAGGTGGGCTAAATAAACCACAATGTTGTCAGGTAGGTCACTGGTAGGTCAGCATGTCATTGGGTAGCTCAGTTGGCAGGTCATCAGGTGGCTGGGTTGGTTGGCAGTTGGGCCAGTTGGTGTTTCATTCGGTAGCTTGGCTGGCAGGTTACTGGGCGGGCAGGTTGGTCGGCTTTTCATAGGGTAGCTCTGTTAGCTGGTTGTTGGGCGAGTGGGTTGGTCAGTATTTCATTGGGTAGCTCAGCTCATAGGTCACCAGGTGGGTTGGTTGGTCATTGGATGGTTGGGTTGATCATCAGCTTGATTGGTGTTTGAGTAGCTCAACTGGAAAGCCATTGGGTAGGTCAGTCTGCCATTGGGTGGGTGGTAGGTCAACGGGTTGGTTGGCATCGCACTGAGTAGCTGGTAGGTCACTGGGTGGGTCAGCCAGTTGCTGGGTAGGTCGGTATTTCACCAAGTAGTGGTGTTTCATTGGGTAGTTCAGCTGATAGGTCGTTGGGTAGGTCGGTATTTCATTGGGTAGCTCAGCTGGTAAGTCATTGGGTGGGTCAGTTAGTCGCCGGGTAGGTCGGTTGGCCACTGGGTTGGCCGGTATTTCACCGAGTAGCTCATCTGGAGAAATCACTTCCTGTCCCCAATGCGCCACAGTGCTTTGCTTTCCGCTTCAAATGTGGCACTTCCTGTCCCAAAGGCCATGGCACTTCACTTCCTGTCCCAAACATCATGGTGCTTTGCCGTCTCGCATACTGCATCACTTCCTGTCCCAGCCCAATGAAACACCTCTTCTTATCCCAAAAGGCAAGGTCACTTCACTTTCTCTCTTGAATGCTGCCACTTCCTGTCCCAAATTGGCTTCTGGTCTCCAATGCTGCATCACTTCCTGTCCCCAAAGAGGGACCACTTCTCTCTCTCTTTCTGGACATCCACCACCACTGTCCCCGGGGCGGGGGGTTGGGAACGAGGAATCTTAACAACAAGGATCTTAACGAGCTTCGACCTCCGGAAAACGAGAAACCCGCCCACAAAACGGCATTTTGGGACCAAAAGGGGGGGGGGGGGCAAAAATGGTCAACGGTATTTACAAGCTTTGTCGTCCTCACGGGAGGGCAACGGACCCCCGAGCTCCGCCCCCCCCAAAACAACTATGTACAAACCCGAGAGCGACGGTGCGTGTGCGAGCGGGTGTGCGAGCGAGTGGGCGTGTGTGTGTTTCTACAAGAAACAGCCAGTCCCGTCTGGAAATATTCACAACTTTCTTCTCCTAAAGAAAAATTAATTCAGCGGCATCTCGGCTGCCAACAAAACCCCGCCCCCTTTTACTCATTTGCATGTTTTTCAATAAGGGGCAGGGCAAAGGGATCCCATTGGGTGTGGGCTGATTGTTTGAAGAGGGCTTGTTAATGGGGGGCCACACAACAGAGGTGGGCTTGGGAGGGTATTAATGCTAATGAGGGGTAGGGCCAGGCTGGGAGGGGCAGCGTTTGAGGAGGGGAGGGGCACATATTAATTAGGTGTTTCCCAGAATGCTTTGCTGCCCTCTCTTCTACACAAGGCCTCTCCTACCCCCTCCAAGCATGAATTTCAGCCCCCCCACCCCCCCCAAAGCATTCTGGGTCACTGGGGTGAGGGAGGGAAACTGAGGTAGGGCACCATAGAGTGCCCCCCACCTCAAAGAATTCTGGGGTATTTGGTGGAACAGGGAAACTGAGGCAACCCAGAGTGAGAACAGGAGATCTCCTCTGAATGAGGAAACCCCCTGACCTCAAAGCCTTCTGGGTAATTTAGTGGAAGA